ATTTTACCTAGGTAAGATCCTGGAACATAATCATGTATATAATGCAGAGTGTGTGTGTATATAATGCAGAGTGTGTGTGTGTGTGTATATAATGCAGAGTGTGTGTTTGTATGAGTGTGTGCATTATATACACACACACACTCTGCATTATATACACACACTCTATGTGTATATAATGCAGAGTGTGTGTTTGTGTAGTGTGTGTGAACTGGGTGGGGGGGGCATTTTTATTATTTTAAATTTTTAAATTTTTAAAATTTTAATATTATTATTTTTTTAAATTATTTTATTATTTAATATTTATTTTTGTTCCCCCTCCCTGCTTGTTACCTGGTCAGGGAGGGGGGCTATCTTAATCACTGGTGGTCCAGTGGGCTGTGCAGGGGGGGAGCCGGCAGCAAGCTGTTACATACTTTTGTAGCAGCTCTGGTCAGCTCCCTTCACCTCCGTGCAGCTCCCCTGTCAGCTCCCAGTGTAAATCTCGCGGTCTGCGTGCCGCGCGGAGCGTTGCCACGGTAACCCCGTGGCAACGCTCTGACGGGGAGCTGCACGGAGGTGAAGGGAGCTGACTGGAGCTGCTACAAAGGTATGTAACAGCTTGCGGCCAGCCCCCAACAGGACCGCTGGGCTTGTAATGAGCCCGGCGGTCCTGGTCTGTATTATGGCAATCTAAGTTGCCATAATACAGACCTTGACTCAAGCATAAGTCGAGTTGGGCTTTTTCAGCACAAAAAAACTGTGCCGAAAAACTCAACTTATACTCGAGTATATACGGTAAATGTTTTTTTCTTTTATATCAATTGAATTATGTTATGCTGTGTTTTTTGTATTGTTTGAATATACTGCTCTTTGTCATTTATTAAAAATTCATGGATTAAACTCATGTGTGCATTGATATATTGTTGTGAATACTATATATGTGATTAGGGTAAAATATATTTTCGATGAGCTTTTAAGTATAAACTAATAAAGGAAACATTGTTTTACACATCATTTTGGTGTGCAGGAAATTTGTTTGACTTTGTGCCAAATAGATAGATGGCTAGACAACATGGTCAGAGAATCTCCAAATTGGCAAGTCTTGGTTGTTCCCGATATGCAATTGTTAGTACCTAGAGAAAGTGGCACATGGAAGTAAAAACAAACAAGATGGAATGTATCCAGTACCCCGAGATGGCATTATTTTCTACTAATTCCTACACATTTTGTCATTTTGTCATTTTGCATTCCTTGAATGGTGGGGTGGAAGATAATGATATAGTATGGGGAAGGGTAGTATGAATTCACTTATCTTGTCAATACATTTCAGTTGCAGTTTTGAAACTAGGAACAATTTTGTCAACTAATTACAATGAGCCAGTGTCATGTTACCAGGAGATGAGTCTTGTTGTATAGTCCCACGTTAAAATTGTGGATACCGAGCGTCATTTCTTGTTGCCCTTATATATGCAGGACTTGGCCTTTGATGTTTTTTGGGGGGACATTTCCTGCAAATATTCTGGCGTTACTATTATAACAGTAGCCAATGACTGCCTTCCCACAATTATGTAAACTGGGCACAAGGTTTGCTCAGTGCCTTGTTGTGGTTTCTTTTACTTAAGAGAGTGTTCTTTGTTCCTGAGAGTTTATTTAGGCTTTGACTTGGCAAATGTGCAGAATATGAATATTTTTATGGATATTATTTTTAAAAACAAAATGCACTTGTTAAATCCAAAACAAATTTAGCCTGAATTTCTGACAAATTTTGGAATTTGAAAGTTTGACCAAAAACAAAAGATTTTAAAGAATATATAATGGTACCAAATTAGGAGAGCTATCTATTAAACAATGCCCTATAAGGAATAACAGACATTCAAACTTTGGATGTTCCTGATAATTGTAGCCCAAATTTGGTTCACTTTAAATTGATACCTACTGAATTAACAAAACCGAAAACTACCTGAATTTTTCCACATGCACACATCTACCTAAAATTTATATTTGACTACACTTGGTTTTTCTGTACCTGATGGAAGAATTATAAAAAATAAGGACTGTAGTAAAAAATGTAATATGATATACTCCTGAATCGTCAAATATATCTGTAAGGAATTAATGCCAAAATAAAAACTGAAAATGTAGCTAAATTGTATTTTATTTTTAGATAAACCTGAGCTGCACTCTATAAACAAATTTATACATATACCTTTTCATTTTTGCAAATTTTATATATATATATACACATACATATATACATATACATATACATATATATACATATATATACATATACATATATATACATATACATACATATATATATACATATACATACATATATATATATATATATATATATAAAGCCTATTTTTGTTCTATTAAATAGCTAAATGCACACGCAAAAATAAATCTTACATTCGCTCTACTGCTGCATCTCTTTCCCTGTTAATTTTCCAGTTAACATATCATTTATTTTCACTGTGTGACTTTTGTTTAATGTTAAGTGACATTGTACAAGCTTGCGCCAGCTCTATTTTTAGTTCTCCTGATTCTGGCAGGTATAACGACAACGGTTATTTCTGGTTTATTTAAATACATTTTCCGAACAGTACAGATGATTACTCTTCTGGACTCTGAACAGTTGGGGGGTCATCTTGATTAGAACTAAATATGCATTCATAATTATCTAAAGAAAATAAAAGCTGCTACCCGCTAAAACTATTTTATTCAGCATAAAATAAAGCTTTTGTTATGGCTGCTTAAAGGAAAACTGCCCTTTTTATTATTGAAGAGAACAGTACATATATGTGTTATTAACTTAGCAATGTATATGTATGATTTTTATTTGTTCTTTGCAATATGTCTTCTCTTCATATAATCTGATGTCTTTGAGACCTCTTTGATCAGAGAGCCCATATATTTGGTCAGAGACAATTGAGGTAACCAGGAGCTACATTGGGAAGTTTGCAGTTTAGGGAGGCTGGGGGGGGGGAGGGCTTTAGGAGGCATCATCAGTGAGATGACCACAATGGACGGGTATGTCCAGAAAAGCGTCAGGTCCGCCATTGAAAAGGCGTGGCAGTTTGTCTTTCGCAGTTCCCTTACCGATAGGACAATGCAGGGAGTCTTTGCATGGTCCTAGTATCTGCTGCACAGAGTGTGCGTGTCTATTGATGAGCTCGCATTATGCTGCCCATGGACAGTCGCTAAAGTAGGATGGCAGGACAGGACCACAACATCAGGACTGTCCCAATAAAAGTGAAAATTTTAAATTGTCCATCGTCTTTTGTCGGATCTGTGTCATTTCTGACGAAAAAGTAGTAATATTAAGCCAAAAAAATACATTTACTAACAGTGGGACTAAATACTCATTATGACTGTTGGAATTTTACTGAAATGTCAAACCAGTCAAGAGTAGGGACTACTTTGTCTCTGTATTTCTCCTCCGTCTGACTTTCTTTGACACAAGGCAGAGATACAGAGTCAATCCCTGCAGTCGTCAGTAGTGAGGGCTGCAGGGAATGTTCTGTGTCGATGGATCCCCTGGTCTTGCAGGATGTCCACAGACCTCAATGCTGTACTCTCGCTCATGCGCAAATGTACAGCAGTGACATTGAAGCTGAAGAGGACCCCGCCGGATTAAGATGGTAGCACCCTCGATGGACAGGTTCAATAAACTCACCTTTACCTTCCACCAATGGCATCATCGGCAATGTCACCGCGGGGGACTTTGCGAATTTGGCAAAGTCTCCAAATGGTGACAGTGTCACATTAAATATATAAATTATCAAAAACAAACAAGTTCATATTTTATATGACATGTAATTTTTTATAAATTAATAATACAAAAAGCAAAGTAAAAAATAATCTGCTGCACCACCTAAAAAAATGCTCATAGAAACCATTTGGATTAACTCAGACATAAGAGGGGCGAGAGTATGTGAACACAAAGGTTTCTTGTAATGACAGGTAATAATTAAAGGGACACTATAGTCACCCAGACCACTTCAGCTCAATGAAGTGGTCTGGGTACCAGGTCCCTCAGGTTTTAACCGTTCAGATGCAAACATAGCAGTTTCAGAGAAACTGATATGTTTACATTTGGGGTTAATCCAGCCTCTAGTGGCTGTCTTCTGGACAGTCACTAGAGGCGCATCTGCGACGCTGGTGGCATATTATGGCTCCATCGCGCACAGCATCCATAGGAAAGCATTGAGAAATGCTTTCCTATGGACACTTTGAATGCGCATGCGGCATTTCCTGCGCACGCGCATTAGGCTCCGCTGATGTCAGACGGGGAGCTGACGTCGGTGGGGGAGGAGAGGTCACCAGTGCCGAGCGAGCCCGGTGCTGGAATAAGGAAACTTTTGAAAGGATTTTAACCCCTTCAGCGCCATGGGAGGGGGACCCTGAGGGTGTGGGCACCCTCAGGGCACTAAAGTGTCAGGAAAACCGCTTTGTTTTCCTGACACTATAGTGATCCTTTAACTTTTTAGATCAATAACACAATGAACACTATATTGCTATCAAGGATTTGGGAGAGTGTCCCACACCTCTGGCACATGGTGTGAAAATTATTTTACATCCAATATACAGTTCCATTCACTCCCCATTGCTACAGAATACCCCAATTATGGTTTTTCCCATTCCGTCCCAATACATTTCTGCTTCTCAAGTAGAGTTCATATTACTGTCTATAACTAAGGTGTTATAAATGATATAAAGAATGAGGGGCCTCCAGAGCTCCCTATGGATCAGTTATAAGCAGAGCAATGGTGCCAGAACACATACCCAAACCCATGAGTCTAAGATGAGCACCAGATCGGGGGTAAGGGCGGGGGTGAGGCGGCCGATCACCCAGCCCAGAGCTCCCTAAAAGCAAACTTTCAACCTGCGGAGGACCAACCACGAGCCTTCATCCCCCCCACCCGCTGGCGGGGGTCATACCGGCACCAGCAGTAGATCCACCGCTGACATTCATGTCCCAGAGACCGCATGCATCGGGGATCACCAACTCTAAAATGGCGGCTGCCACATGCCAGCCAGCAAGCATGGGAACAGGAGGAGAGCTGATAATAGACACTATGGCTAAGCTGGACGAGATCAGGATTTCAGAGAGAGCGCTGACCAAAGCTACAGCCAAACAGACTATCCCAGCATTCACACACTTGGCACCCTCGGACTCCAAGGGCGGACGCAGAATAAACGCTGCCAGAGGCTCCCCAAAGCGGTACCGACAAAGGAACCGATGGCGCAAGCAACAACGCAGAGCCTGCCCCATGACAAGCACCCGTACCCAAGTTAAGCCTCAACAACCCCGTAGCAGACCAGAGGCACCCTACCCAGCAGGTCAGCGCCGACTGCCTGACAAAATACAGATTCACCATCACAACTCAGACACCTGGTACTTAACCACAGCTATGCCTCTGAAGTCTCAGGCGACAGGGGCTCTCGGGGACTGCATCTTGCAACCAAAAGGGATCGGATGAATAGGCTGGAGATCGAGGATTACCAGGCATGTCTCATTGTTGTCAGACTTTCACCTCACATCATGTCTTATACCATAAGTACTGCTCTCTGAATGTTCACTATTTAAACAGCAATAGTCGCTCTTAATCTGTTGGTATCTCTCCTCTCACTGAGTTTTCTGTCATAGTTCTTCACTGATAACTACTGTCACCACCCATGCATTTTCTCATTAGTCAGTCATAACCTGAGGGACACCTTAAATTTAAACTTAAACCTGTAAAAATTAGCGGTGAGTCTGCTAACCTATTCCTGCAGTTAACGTGTAACCAGCACTTTAAACGTAAAAGCTGTCTTACCACATAATGTAACGCAACTAGCTTTGTTAATTACACGTTCAATCTAGCATGCTAAACTATTAATCACCGATGTTTACTGGTCTGTTAACCTCATGTTCATTTTAAAAAAAAATTTGCTGTCTTGACAACTACGACTTGAAATGTTATGCAAACTGCCTGCAGATGCTATCGTGGCTATGCACACTTGATGTTAATTTTCGCACACGAAAAATAAAAATAAAGAATTTAAATGTCAAAAGATTTAGATATAATAATCTGGCACCCATATCACTTTCTATTGGACTTATTGTCTCTCCCCTTATACGTTACTAAGATTTCGATGTTACCTGGCCTGAAGCCAGGGAATTCTAACCAAAATTACAGGACAAAATAAATTCCAAATCAAAGTGTTCCAATCAAAGTGTGTAGAACTGATTGCTGGTATCTGTGTCTTCGTCAAGTGTCTTTTAGAGAGTTGAAGGTAATTTATTGTTTTGGATACTCTTACTTGCCTGTATCAGCATAGGAGACCAAAATAGCCTCTATATAAGCTGGTGTGAAGACTCTGTATGTGACTGATATAATCTCTGCGTATGAGGTGGTGAAGTCACAGCCAGACATTTGACAGATACTGTTACGGTGTATGAGCTGGTGTTAACACAGCCCCATAAAGTGAATTGTGATCAGCATAAAGTTCACAGCCCCAGTATATGTGGCCGACATATCTGTGTATGATCTGGAAGAAAGAAACCGGTCAGGTCCAACAAAACACAGTCCACTTTTGCAATTGGTATACACCAGTTATGAATCAGGGAGCCTCTGTTTCAGCTTTCTGCTTGTAAATATTTTTTATTTTTTTTAATCAGAGAACCATGTCTTTTTGCTTTGCATTGGGCGTTCCCTATCTGTATTTTCATGGATAACCACTTTATATGGGCTGTAGTTATTAAGGTGTCCTTCCAATGTGTGTGTATATGACCTGTTATCCAAAATAGAGGTTTGTAGTTTTCTACATCAGTTAAAGGAACACTCTGAGCACCATAACTACTACAGCTTACAGTGGTGAGTATGATGCCAGCAGTGTCCTGGTGTCCACTCACTGTAAGTAGCAAAACTATTTAAGAAATATTTGACAACTCACCTATGGTCTGCCGGTGCCATCAGCCAATGAGCTAAGCCCTGCATGACACTGCCTCTATTTAGCTAAGCAGTCAGGTTGGGTAAGCATATACTGTTATCTGACCAGCTGCTGCAATTTCTATGTGTGAACCTGCAGCAGCAACCAAGTTAGGTTGAGCAGCATTTGGCCAGATAACATTACAGACTGACCCAATATGACTATTCATCATGAAAAACAAAAGTTACATTTGGTAACAGTTGTTCTTTAATGTATAGTTTCTTTAGTATTATTTAGGTCCAAATATGACTTTTTCCGGAGTCTACCTTTCAAGGGGAAGGTACAATGTATTTGTGATTGGAGATGCTATTTAACGCTAAAAATGTAATTCTATTATGCCTTTTTGTGCTGTATTTATCAGCTACAGGTTACCTGAGGTAGTTGAGGTAGTCCACGACTGTTCTTTTCATTATATCAGCTTCATCAGAATTAGCCTGGATCTTGTTCCATTCCATTTAATTATCAGTTACAGTGAGTTGAACAAGTCAACCTTAGCCATTTAAAGTTTCATTGAAAACGTCCTAGCTTTAAAACATATAGTACAACACATATAACTTAGTCTGGGCCTTTTCATTAAATGTATCATATTTAGTTACAATGGAATTACAGATATCTATTGTATAGGTCATATAATTTCCATATATCTCATATTGTAAACTTATCTCACAAGTGATTTTAGAAGTACTCTGTATTTAAAGGGACACTATAGTCACCAAAACTACTTTAGCTTAATGATGCAGTTTTTGTGTATACATAATGACCCCGCAGTGTCAGTGCTCAGTTCTCCGCCATTTAGGAGTTAAATCACTTTGATTATACAGCCATAGACACACCTCCCAGCATGTGACTTACAGTCTTCCTAAACACTCCATGTAAAGATCTAATGTTTAAACTACCTTTACTGCTCAGTCTGTTGAATTTAGAATTTCATGTGTCCTGCACTGTTAATGGCCGTCTAGAACCTGCAGGATCCTATTGTGTGTGATTAAAATTCAATTTACAGAACAGGAGATAAAAAAAATAAAAAGTAAACATCTGGTTCAAAATTAAAACATGGTTTTCATGCAGGTTGTGTTAGTCACAGCCAGGGGCCGTGTGGCTAGGGCTGCATGGACAGGAACAAAAGTTGTTTAACTCATAAATGGCAGAGAAATGAGCAGTGAGATTTCAGAGGCATGATCTATACACGCAAAGTGCTTCATTAAGATAACGTTATGTTGGTGACTATAGTGTCTCTTTAATGATGCCTTAACTCCCTTCAGCAAGGCTGAATTGGGGAAATAATTATGTACCAGCCCTTTCCCTGAACAACTTTGTGGAGCTTTTGCAGATTTCAGCCAAATGGGCAATTGTTAGCTCATTAGGAACACAAATCTGTATTCCTAACGCTATAGTGTCCCTGTCCCTAGTTTTCTAGATTCACCCCCTCTTCAATGGTGGAAGATTAAAGGATTAAAAGGTTAAAAACCATTTAACTCCTCTTCAACACTGAGGCACCCGCGCCAATGGCAAGATCTCCTCCTCATGCGACATCATGGTAATGTTGGGATCTAATGTGCATGAGCACCAACAACCACGCACACATTCAAGCTTCGCCATATGGGGAACATAAAAGAATATGTCAGTTAACAGAAACTGCAAAGTTTTACATTGCAGAGTCAACTAGACAGGGACACTGCACCCAGACCAGTTCAATGAGATGAACTAGTTTGGGTGCCTATAGTGTCCCTTTACATTTAGAGCCCTATAATGCATTTACCAGCAGTTATGTGGAATATTCCAAATCATTTACAGGGTTATAAAATGATAGGTTAATAATTTAGATTAGAGAAGGTGCAAAAAGATTAGACTGTGGAGGATAATAGAGGATGGGGGGTTGGACGGGGTGATAATATGAGGAGAGAATGGGGCATGTGATAAGAGAACTGGGGAGTGTGCCTTTCTCTGCTAAGAGGAAGTAGTTTGTTTGCCAATTGCAGAGTAAGTGACAGCATTACTAGCTGCTGCTACTGACAGCTAATCTCTAGGTAGACACAAGCAGTCCCCACTAATTTCTACAGGAGTCACAAAACACTACTTAACGATTTATATGCCAATACCGTGGCTAATCATCGCCGGCTAATGCCAACTCAAAGAAATTAACAGCTTCTGGCCTAGTGCCAATAGGTTAATGACAGCTAAACTCCTGTTCAAGATTAAACATTTAAGTGTAAGAATCATAACCACTACAGGACACTAAAGGGGTTATACTGCTATAAGTACCTTGGAACTTTCAACTGGGTAAGATGTTAACGTTGAAACATCATGGTTCTCCTTGCCAGCAATCTTACTCCTCTTCAGATATCACTAATGTGGAAGATCTCACTTCCACATTAGTGACAGAAATTCTGTCCATATTTAAATAGATTTCATTGGCCAAGACCAAGATGATTTCAGCCAATGAAATATATCCAAATAAAAAGTCAACAAACATCTGCTTTAGCGTTATCGAAGGAGAGGCAGGACTATAGGTGCCAAAGTAGACTCTGGCACCATAACCACTATAGCACCCTGTAGTGCTTATGATGCTTAGAAACTACCATATTTTAAGGATGATAGTCTAACAAAGATCAGCATACATTGCTCCAATGTATAAAAGACTGGAACAAATTTAGCTTTTGTTATTTTTTTTTCTAGGTATAAATAGACAGTAGTTTTCTCTATGTATTCCATCTTTTATTTGTAACATTCTGGTAAAACTATCAATTTACATTAATAGTTCTCATTACTGGGAAAAATAGCTCTTGATGGCTACAGCAATGTGAGGAATTTGGTATTATGATAAAAAAACTTTAAATCAAAAGACAAGGTACAAATTAATAGCTACTGGGATCCTTTACTTTTTTGACTCCCCGTACTGTCTTTCAAGGATAATTAATTTTAAAGGAACACTACATGGTCAGGAACACAAACATGTATTCCTGATCCTATAGTGTTAAAACCATCGTCTGGCCCCCTTTTGCCTACCTAAATATAGTAAATTCTTACTTGTATTCAAATCTGCAGCTGCTGGCTCTGCCCCTTTCTGCCTCTGCCTGAAGTGGAACATCATCAGAAGTGTTGTTCTGAGCCAATCACAATGCTTTCCCATAGGATTGGCTCAGACTGTCAAGGAGGCAGATCAGGGGCAGAGCCAGCACAAGTCAAACACAGACCTGGCCAATCAGCATCTATTCACAGATATTAAATGAATCAATGCAGCTCTATGAGGAAAGTTCAGGGTCTGCATGCAGAGGGTGGAAACACTGAATGGCAGTGCTGCTCACTGTGTAGCACTAACCCAGGAAGCACCTCTATAAGTCATCTGTGGAGTGGTAAGTGAAGTTATTACTAGGCTGTAATGTTAACACTTCATTTTGTCTGAAAATACAGTGTTTACTGCAAAAAGCCTGAAGAGAATGATTCTACTCACAAGAACAAATGCAATAAGCTGTAGTTGTTCTGGTGTCCCTTTAATTTGTTTTTATTTATTAGTCATAATGTTTGTTTACGGGATAATTTTATTTCGGAAAACTCTTGCTTAAAAGGCTCCATGTCACACACAAATGGCAACCTTCATTTACCATTTGAGTTTTCTATGCATTTTGCTTATAAGATAGCCCAGGTGTTTTGCTTATTCTTTGAAGATACACTTGTACTTCCTGATCCCCATTTAAATGTTTAGAGTAGTCAATATTTGTTAAATAGAAAATTATATTGGTATTAATAAAAATCTGTAAATTATATGTATGGAGTTGGGGGACAAGAATGATTGATATTATTTGAATTTGCATTAAATGTAATAAGTGTTAAGTGTAACAGCTGATCTTCATGTACTCAGTATATTTTAACACATGCAGAGGTTTACTTGAAAAATACAAATATTGGAAGTATCCCAACACCAGACTCACCCCCACTCCACCCCCTCCCGTGTACCAGACTGGTTTAGCAAGGCATAGCTGCATTGAAAAACAAAATGAAAATAGTTATTGCAACACTTGAGTATATGCAGTAATGTCTGTAGAGACCAAGAAGTGGCTAAAATCAATTCAACCGATGCCCTTCGCTATACTGATTTCAGTGGAGCTCTGTAGGATATCATAACGACTCGAAATTTCAAGTCCTACTGCTAACCCCCCACTACACGTACACACACACACACACACACACACACAACACTCCAACTAGCAACAGACCATCTGATTCATTTATACAATCCTTCAGTCTGATGACTGATAAAAGGATAAACAAAATAAGGCTTGAAATATGACATACATTTTTATTCTGAAATGATCTCCGGCCACAACAATAAAATTGAACAATTATTCACTATAAATTTCATACTTCTGTCACCTGCTGTACAGTACATACAGTATTCTAAAACTGGCCACTTTGATTCTACCCCACTACAACATACAGAATGTGAAGTGGCACCAGCAGCATGTCACAGAAAAAAATACACAAAAAATATACACAAAGTCCACATTCAATCCAAGTGTTTCACATATCAGATCACACAATTGCAGCATATTACAGTCACAAGTCCAAGATGTTGCTTAACAGAAGCAAAGACACTGCCTAGAAATTTTTTTTAGCAGGTTTGTGAGATCTTTAAATTGCAAAAAGAAATATAGAAATATAGTTGTGGTGATGAGCAGGTTGTAGAGTGGAACTTGGAACACTAGTAGCAGCAAAATGATGGCCTTTGGAAATATATACACAGATGGTTTTGTTTAATTGTTTGAGTGACATGGGTTAGAATTGTATTACAAGAATACTCAAACAGCAAAGAAAGGGGCAAGCCCTTACTACAGTAAATATGGGACATAACTTTGGAACACATATGATTTTTACTGTAACTTTTTCTATTTTATTTTCAAGAACCAAATTGTAGCCAATTGTGTATTTTACAAGCAAAAATTTTAATGATTTTTAACTAAAATGGAAAAAAAAAAACCTGTGTTATTCTAGCCAAGCAAATATTAAAAGGAATGCACTCTGGTTCTTACCAAATGCCCTTGGTTTGGTGACACAAAACAAAATAAAGAAAGAAAATTGAGGTAAATCTTACAAATAAGATTTTCATCATTTAGTACATTTAAGAAAAAAAAAAAAAAGGCCGTTTAAAAATACAAATTACTAATTAAAATTAGTTAGTACCTTTTTACTGACTCTTTTTGACGTCATTTTTTTCCCTCTATGAAATGTTCTGTTTTAGCACTCTGCTTCCACTATGGTTAGATATTTTAAGGCCCTTCAACACAGTGGATGTTTTAAGACAAGTAGTGTTAAGTTGTATTAGAAATGCCTTTAATCACTTACCATTTATTGTGTAAAAGAGGCCAAAAAAAGTATGCCCTATAACATGGCATTGGTAACAAAAAGGCACATTGTTCACAATAAGGACACAATTTATCGCGCATTAATACAAAACACTTCTGTCCCAAGCAGTTGCTCGTTACAATCCAACAGCAATACATTTATGTGATAAAGAAGATCCCAGTGGGAGCATGAATTCGAGTCAAAAGAGACTGCAAACAAAGAAAACAATGACATATTGTGCTATCGTTAATGCTGCAAATAGGTGAGCCTTCCCCAGGCAATGGTTTCCAAAGCGACCTATAGCAGGTTAACCAACAAGAGCCCTTAAGGAAATCAAAAAGTTACACTCCACATGCTTCCTGTTTGCACTAATATCACAAAATGACCAAAGGAAAAAGTAACCTCATTTACGGAGGTAGTAGGGTTTTCACCAACAGTACAAATTAAATAAAAAATATTAACAGAGCTTAGTGATTCAACCCTGTCTTAAGAAGTTTCCGGTTCAAACTATGCCTTAAGAGAAATGCCTTGTATATATTAAAATATAAAACTGAGTTAATCGGTATGTTAGAACTGCTGAGAACTGACAAAGTAATTGTACATTTTAAGGGATTTCAGTCTAAAATTTTGAATTATTGTATCAGCTCTCAACAAGTCCCAGTTTAGTAAATAACATCAAATATTTCGTAGAGGCTTGGTCAGACCGACAAATCGTTAAAGTGAATGTTATTTATTTTTTGTAAAAAAATAAATAAAATTAAAATAAAACTGACAAGTTAGATTAAAAACGTCCCTCTCAATAACTGTGCAAATTGCCAAGGGCTAACAAGACCCTATATTCACTATAAAATAAAGTGATATATCACTTTGAAAGCAGTGCATTGAATTTAAATTGCAATCCCTTTTGACTTTAAACAATATAGGGTAAAAAAAAAAAAAAGTAGTACAAGACAGGTGTAGGCAAAAGAGAAAAGAGAAGCCGGAAACTTTTTTGTTTTGTTTTTTTTTGGGGGGGGGGGAACGATGCTTTAAGTTATATAAAAAAGAAAAAAATATTTTAATTTCTTTAAAAAGCAAATATAATGCAATTAGTCGGGAGTTCTGTAGGATTTTAATTAAAACAGCCATGTTTCACTCCACTTTCACATTTTTACAACAAAATAAAGTATTACTGATCACATTTTTAAGGTTTTTTTTTTTCCTTCCTCCACGTATGTGTTTGTTTTCAAATTAAAATTCTTCTTTTTCTGCAATTCAGAGTTTAACAGTCAAAATAAGACTTTAACAACCAGAAGCAGTGCAACTTATCCCACCACACCAATCTCAGAACAAAATGGCGGCAGGAATGTTAGTGCTACTGTAGCCAACGTATGGTTACACAATCCTCGTCCAAACGCTATTTCTGATATTGTTTTCAATATGCTAAATAAATAGTACCCTGACAAAAGTCAGAAATGCCTTTAAAGCAAAATGTAAAAAAAAAAAAAAAAAAACACCCCTTCAAATTTAAATAATTCACATTCTCTCTTCTATAACTCCATATAATATCATAAATCAGTTAATACTAAGATTTAAATTAATAATGTTCTATTTTTCATAAAGATCCTATCTTGAAATCACCTACATATCCAAAAGTCAAAGTTGTTTAAAATGTAGAGCTGCAATATAGTTCAGATTTGTTTGCAAAATATTTCACTTAAAAAGAAAAACTAGTCTGCTTTGTCTGTTAAATTGCTTCTATGACAAAACAGAAACAATGTAAACAGTAATGTAAAAAAAGCAATTTAAAACTAACTTTTCCACTCTTCTTAATGTAACAGGACAGAGCACTATGCGCCCTTCCTAGTGCTTCCTTTTAAAGCATCAATAGATCTGTGTATTAGCCTGTTAACTGCTGACATTCTCTGGGTTACTATTGGCAAGAGAATCTGACAGTCATTCAATTGTACACTTTTATTAGCGGTCTCATACAGAGCTGTGGTTGAGCATGGAGGTGTAACATAAGCAACAATCACAACCAGCAAAAGTGCAATGACATGTAGAATCACCAACAGAATGCCAGAGAACACCAGGATTTTAGTTTTGTATAAAACAGGCTGTTTGTAAAAGGAACAATCCAAGCACTATAACTACTACAGCCCGCTTTACTTGGTATGGAGCAATAAATAGCCTGTGCCTTCCCATGGTAATCAGATTGACAAATTAACAAGAAATCTGCTGGGCACTCATCAAGCCAGAAGCTCCTGCAATGAGGTAAGCCCATTGGTACAGGGAGGCACTCATTGGCACACGGCACTCAACTGACACCATCGGCCAATGAGCTGTTCCTGCATTGAAGTTCCTGGTAGGTGCTTCTGGCTCCAGGGAAAGTGGCCAAGCAGTCCTCAATATGATTTGGCAGGGCATCAGTGCACCACTGCCACATTAAACAGTGGGCCGTTGTGTTTATGGTGCTTTGAGTGTCCTTTAAGTAAACCTGACTTTTTTTGTTTCTTTGATGGGTGAAAAAATGCGCAAACAATGTAACTTCACTAGTCTGAATTACCAGTGTGGCACAAGGTACATCAACAAATTCCCCACTAATCAAATTGAGTAAAATTGGGATGGGTAACTCTGCAACGCATGTAAAATAATTATTTCATGAAATAAAATAGTTTACATGACTCCAAGCCTAAGTTCTGCTGATCACAACATATAGTGCTTAACACTTTTGACACCAATAAATATTTTAACAGTCAAAATATTTGACTCAGTGGCCAGCCACCGATTTCATGACACTTTCTAAATTTAGCAAAGCAAACAACAAATTAAAAAAAAAAAAAACGTATTAAAACCTTAAAGCATTGTCCCCTTTGTTTACAATACAAAATCTCAAAGTTAAAAAACCAAAGTTGCAGACATAAAATCGTTAGATTTAATAATTAAAAATGTTCTAGATTTGAGCTGTGTCTTCAAATGCATAAGGCTCAACACGGTATCAGTGTCTGTGTCAAAAATCAGCTAACCAGCTTTGGCAATACTGTCCTTTGCTGTATATTTCCATTGGCATCAGTCATTTGAGCTAAGTTGGTCTTTATTTTTGCAGCAGAGCCAGAAGTGGGAGGTAATTTTGCAATTGATGTTATAGCACCAGAGCTTTCAGTTACTCTTTTAGATGAGGGCTTTTCCCCAGTTGGAGGCTTTGGCAAACGTCTCCGTAGCCATGGATGCTGCAAAGCCTGGCTAGGTGTCATACGCAATGTAGGATCCCATTCTAAACACTGCGCTAAAAAGTCCAGAAATAGAGGATCATCGCAGCCCTTAAGCGCAGTCACCCAGTCTCTACTCCCAGGTGGACCACGCAATTTTCCTCTTCGGGAGCGACTACCATTAAGTACCACTGAACCATCAGGCAGGCTCGTAACAGTGCAATAACGAGGGTAACCTTTGGAGCTGAAAAAATTTTTGCCTCTTTTTGAAGAATCTAGTAGTTTTTGGGGAGGCATACTTAACAACTCAATCATACACGCAAGCTGATCACCTTCATCTTCCCCAGGTAAAAGTGGATAACCAGTCAATAGTTCTGCAAGAATACAACCCAAGCTCCACATGTCTATAGGCATTCCATAGCGACCACCAAGAATAACTTCAGGTGCACGATAAAAACGAGACTGTATATAAGTGTAGAGACGCTGATGATCATAACAGCTTGAACCAAAGTCTATTACCTTAATGCCACTTCTACCCTGTTGCTTCAATAAAATATTTTCAGGTTTAAGGTCACAGTGGATAATTCTATTTTTGTAAAGTGAATTTAAGCACTGTAAAATTGAGTGAGCAAATTTTCTAACCAACGGCAGACTGAAGCCCATGAATTTATTCTTCTTTATAAGTTCATAGAGGTTCATACTCAGAAGTTCAAATGTCATGCAGATATGATTACGGAATGTGAAGTTCTCCAACATGTGAATGACATTCATATTGTTGTCCTTATCCTGTTTCTTCAGATGTTCAAGGATTCTGATCTCTTCTGCAGCCTGCCTGTGAAAGCGTTTTTCATTTCGTACCATTTTTAATGCCACATGCTGATGTAGCTTGTGATCATAAGCCTTCACAACTTGTCCAAAGCTTCCTTTCCCGATGACTTTCAGCACTTCATACCTATAGGCTACGTGGTCATGTGGCACTTGAACATATGAACCCTGCTCATCATCGTAGCCGCCATTGTTTGGGCCACCAATTACACCTTGACGCTTCTTTGCATTGGGACCAAAAAAGAATATTTCCGAATAGTTGAAAATTTCATGGTGCTCAAAGGTACTCAGCTTCTGCATGTATTGCTTCATTGTTTGCTCCGGAGTTAATGAAGACTGCTTTACCTTGGTTGTCCCATCGGATGACTTCAAAGAGCTAGAGCTTCCTTGCCTTCTGTGTGTGCTCTCGAGCTGCCTTTCTGAAACAATCGGTATTCCACTTTTTCCAACTGCTGTAAGCCCATTTGGTTGTGTTGTCAGGACAGTCCGCTTGTTGCTGTTCTCCTCAAACAGTTGTTGCACCTGGATCTGTCCATGGCTGCTAATGTGCAGGTGTTCATTCATGGTGTGCTTATTGCCTCCGATCTGCAAATGATAAAGACAAGTGGTAATCGATTATTAACCATGTGTATCAAAAACAAATCATGAGCTACAATTTTAGAACAGGCTAGCCACCTAATTTACCAGCCTCTTGATAATTTCACGGCGATGTTATGGAGTAGGTTTCTGCCACAGAATGTACTCCCCATGTGTTCTTTATTTGAACAACAGTACCATAAAATATGTTAAATGTGTTTATACAGATAAGCTATGTAACCAGCCCCGCAACTTGCTAAGAAATATTGATAACTGTCAAACAAAGAAGTTTAAATGCAATGCAATGTCCAGAGTCAGGTTGCAAGAGAGAATGAACAAATGTGTGGGGGTTTTTTGTGTTTTTAATTTGTACTGTGGTAACTTGTCAGAAATCTATATTTTATCTATATTTGAGAGACTAAAACAGGGTTGGCTAAAATGTTAACCTCAGCTGTCATGAAGCAAATCCTAAGGTTTCACAGCAATAAAATCTGCATCCTAACCATTTAGCAACAAATGAACTTCAAACACTGCTATTAATAAATAAATAAATAAATAAAAATTCAAAAGAAAAACCGGCACTCTTTTAAAATGTACATAGTTATTACTCCTTAGGCACGGGAAAGACTGTGTGGTTTTCATTCTGCTCATAAGCAAAAACTTCAAAATATTTTGAGGCCATCGAAAAAGTCAACAATTATGCAATTAACATATTAACTGACAGCCACTAGAGCTGGACTTAAAGGAACACTGTAGGGTCAGGAACACAAACATGCATTCCTGACCCTATAGTGTTTAACCCACCATTTAGGTGGCTTGCCCCCCCTTAAAAGCATGAAATACTCACCTTATTTCCAGCACCATGCGGGTCTGCTGGTGCTGGTCCCACCCCCTTGGTGACATCATCACAATTGCAGATTTTTAGCCAATCAAATGCTTCCCCAAAGCATTAGATTGGCTAAAATCAGCAAGGGGGCGGGGCCAATCAGCAACTCCTCATAGAGATGCATTGAATCAATGCATCTCTATGAGGAAAATTCAGCGTGCAATCGGCAGAGCTGCCTACTGTGCAGCACTGACCCAGGAACCACCTCCAGTGGGCAATGTAACACTGCCTTTTCTCTGAAAATGCAGTGTTTGCATCAAAAATGCCTGAAGGCTGTGATTATACTCACCAGAACAACTACATTAAGCTGAAGTTGTTCTGGTGACTATTAGTGTCCCTTTAACCCTGCAAAGTAAACATTACAGTTTCCAAAAAAACAAAAACAAAAAAAACTGCAGTGTTTTACAGGGTTAAAAGGACAGTGCACCCAGACCACTTCATTGAGATGAGGATCCCTATTAAGTCATAAGATATAGGTAGAGGCCCAATACTGGTAAACATGCTCTCAAAAATAAACAGTGGTATTCTGAACGCTTCAAGATTGTTAAAGGAAACTCAATTGGGATAAATATCACTGTCTAATAGATACTCCCAATTAAAACATGCATACATTTAATTCTAATTTTTTTCTTTTGGTGATATCTAAAAACAGCTTGCAAAAGTTGCAGAGATGCTGTGCGAAACCTTTGCAACCCCTTCGCTCTTTTCCCTGCACAGACTTTCAGTCTGTGCCAGGGAATACTCCAATCAGAGGCTTCTCATTGAGAAGCTGTTATATTGGAGCCATTATTGTTCACGCACATGCAATCACTGCTTTCTAATACAGCTTATTGACAACGGTGAAAGCATGTGCAGGAAGCGAAAAGATGCAGAAGAAAACCTCACAGGCAGTCTGATAGCCAGGTTCGTGTTTCTGCCCCCAGTTCAATGAGTAGATTAAAAAGAAGTTATTTCAATAGAAATCATCACTTATAAATTTCCAGAAATATGACAGACTCCAGATATATAAAGCAAGTGGGCTGGTCCTTTAACTGATAATCAGCAGCCATTGTCCATGTTGATAAATAACAAATATGCAGTTGCCTATAAGTATTTGTGCAATTTTAATAAACCAACCACAGTGAAGACTGAACAAGCCTGGGCATGTCAAGGGTGAGTCTTTGAAACCGGCAATTCAGCACACTATAAACACTATACATTGCCTTTGGCATGCCTAACCTTGCTTGGGTATTAAGAGTGTGAGTTTCTTCAAACTATGATATTTATTTAGTTCCAGTACTTATTACTGAGTGTCACTTTCAGGGTCTTTTGACAGCTGATATTCCCACTTGTTTTGCGTCAGCTGGGGTGAGAAGTTAAAGGGAGATATACTAAACTGAAACTCTTCCACATGTGCACTGCTTGTTTTCCTACTACTACAGGATCATCCACCAAGAACTTGTGAGTGTACAAACAGAGGGGTATGGAAAGCACCCCAGGGTACTTCTTGCCCAATATATTAGAAGATTACTTTTCCATAGTAGTTGCTGAGAAAAGGCAAGAGTTCATGGCGGTAGCTCCAGCTTTTATCAACCTCAATCGAATGTAAAATATTGTAGTCCATACTTTGCCTTTTGAGACAAGCAATAGGAGTGTTTCATAAAAATTAAATAAAGTGGCATTGATGTGGGGATTAATTAATCCAATACAAGAGCATTGTGATGTGTCAAAGGTGATTGAAAAATCTATTTACCACTTCAGATCAAATTATTTTCTATTGGTTGACGGTTTCTAATTTTAACTACAGTTCACTCATTTGCAAACATAGGTGTGTGCCTTATATATAGGCTTATACAGTTAAAAGATAAAACATATTATAAAGGCATATCCTATAACAAGGAGAAAGGGGGGGGGAAAGGGCCATTGGTTGGGGGCAAGTAACTATCTTTGCCTCACTAGGGAGTGTAAATGATAATACACAAGGCATACAAAACAAAATATAAATATACTGCAATAATATTTTTTTTCTGCAAATTTGCATAAAATAAATAGTTTGACAGCAGTTTTATAAATGTTCTAGCATTGGCTTATTCAACTCAGTGTAGCCATTCATTCGTTATTCATTGTGTACTTCAAAGCAAAACAAATATATATGTATTTATTTTCATATATAAAATCTGATCACGATATACAACCATCAAGGATTACAAAGTACTATAAATTGCTGAAATTACTTTAACTAGAGAATCCCCCTATTTTGTGTACAACTTGTAGTCTCAAGATCGATTCTCCACAATTCAAGAATTTAGTGAATAAAGTCAGAATGCAGAACTACTATACTAGTACTAGTCTAGTACTTGCACATTGCTGATCCAGCAAGCAGGAATTAAGCTGTAATTGCCCTATGTACCCCAGTCAGAATAAGGGTGGAACCCAAAGCCTACTAGCACCATAACCACTAAAACAGCATATAATACTAATGGTACTTAGACCACCCACAAAAAAAAAAAAAAAAAAAAAAAGAACACCCCAAGCAACATAACTACTACAGTAGTCAAACCATTTAGTAATGACTTGGGTTCCACAGTCGCGTCGCCTGCATCACGTCTTCTCCTGCAGAATGATCTAGATTGCACTACAGCGCAAAGCAGGGGCATGCAGGGTCATTGGCTGGAAGCATCTCCTGAGTGCTTTCAGCCGAAGAGGGCAGTACTGCATTAGACGTGCTTTATTCTACAGAGACATCTGGTTTCTCATGCAGAGAAACAAAATACTAATAATACTGCATGTGACCCAGCTAAACAGTCAAAATGCACTAAAAGCTCTTTAACTACTCACGGTGGGACTCTGCCAGGGCACTGGCCCTATAAACACTACAGTGGTGCTGTAGTAGTTATGGTGATTTTCGTTCATTGCAATTACCTATGGATGAGAAACTAAGGCCAAATCTCCACTTTTAAATCTAACGGGACAGATTAAAACCCACCAAGCTATATATGGCTGGAGCAAACCTAGAGTACTATAATTTACAGCATTCATTACAAGATATTAAAAAAAATAATAATGAACAAAAGATACATCATTAAGAATTTCTCTCTGATAAAAGCTGGAAAATTGGAGAGAATGGAAATAAATGTATATAGTTTCAAAAGTTGTAGTTTTTCATTATAATATATGTAGAAAATGATTTAACACCAAAAGATGAATGCTAACATTTAAAAGAATGCTTTTTAAATTTCACAAATATTTTCCTAACTTACCGGTATATTTCAAAAAAATTAAAATATGTTGAAAAATATTTTCACATACATTAAATGGAAGGACGGAGTCTGCTGTTTCTTCCAACTCTGTACGCATGAAATAGACACTAACATACTGCCTGGCTGTCAGACTAACTGCACCTTGCAGATTTCTATTAATACCAAATTGGTTGGCGAGATGAGGGAGACAAGGAGGAGGGGATGACTTAACTGAAATATAAAAAGCTTTAAAAAAAATAAAAAATAAGAATAAATAACTGATGAATGAGTTTGGAGTTGCAGGTGAAACAACACGTTCAGGAAAGCAAAAATATGCATAACATTCTACCTGTGTTCTCCGCTATATTGTTTACCATTGGCCCTTACCATATGCGCAGAGTTGCCAGCTCTGAGTGGTGGCAAAGATACAGGTGATGGCGGTCCTGTGCCTGCGGCAGATCGTGGTAATCCTGGTGATGGTTGCATCTGACTAATGCCTTCACTTCCTCTCCCTGCTGCACAGAAAACATAAACCATATCTCAGGACAAGGGAAGCCAGTTTCTGCACCCCTAAATGTACAATATCCACGTATTTAAAAAACGTTCAGGTTGACACACACCAGTTTAAAAAAAAAAAAAAAAATGTAAAAAAAAATCTAAATATCTATAAATGTAAAAAAAAAAATTAAATAAAAAAAGCAAAAATGCTGGCCATTAATGTTACTAGCAGAGTTCAACAGCTCAGACAGCACAATCTGCTAATTACATGAAGGGTTCAATTGTCAAGAGGGATAAACCCATGATCCAAGATTAGCCAGCCACTGCGTTCAATTGGAGAATGAAACAAACAGGATTTCCAAGTCAGACAGTATTAGATTTTCATTTGCAAGTGTGATGTACAGGACTGGCTCGTCCTTTGATTCTGTCAGTCTTGCAATGATTTCTTCCACAGAGAAGCTTGCAAAAAATCCATGTCTCAGTTCTAGTCCAATACACAGGCTATAATACACGGTGTGACAGCCACAGACAGACAGTACTATAGCAATCTGAAGGAATCACAGCATAGTCCTTTACCTTCTGTAGAGGTATAAGGGATAAGGAGAATTGACAGTCCTTAAATAAGTTTTTATTTTGCTCTGTGACTTCTCCTTCGATGGCACAGAGCTGTTACCACCTGCACCTGAACCTGTGGAGGAAGCAGACCCCACAAATATAGAGGCATACTGTGTGAGGTCACTATGGGGGAGGGGCAGGCTGTAACAGGAAAGCAGCAGAGCAGATATAGATCAGAGCTGCAAATGACAGGATTACTATAGCAACACTAGAAACACCAAGAGTGCACAAAATGAACACATATAATGGCTGGAAAAAAAATAATTAAAACAAATCTAATATATATACACACACAGGAATACTCTTATTGTGTATGTATCAAGGTACATTCACACATGTATAGAGGTTGTCATGTATTCCTGGACAATGCTGCCCTGCTACATGTTCCTTATTAATCATCTCATGTACTGTATTAATGCATTGCATTCCTATAACTTGTCATATAGGATGATGGGTTATTTCTGGTAGTATAGGAATTTTACATACAGCAGGGCAGCATTTTGTATGTGCTACCTACTGCCATGAAAGGATATGTCTAGGACAAAACAGAGAATGTGACAAAGGCAGCACAATGTATACTGACAAACACAATTACAGCCAGCACAATGTATACAGGGTAACACACACAATTACAGCCAGTGCAATGTATACAGAGTGGCACACACAAATACAGCCAGCACAATGTATACAGACACACAAAATTACAGCCAGCACAACGTATACAGGGTAACACACACACCATTACAGCCAGTACAATGTATACAGGGTAACACACACACACACACACCATTACAGCCAGCACAACATATACAGGGTAACACACACACACACCATTACAGCCAGCACAACGTATACAGGGTAACACACACACACACACACACCATTACAGCCAGCATAACGTATACAGGGTAACACACACACACACACCATTACAGCCAGCACAACGTATACAGGGTAACACACACACACACACCATTACAGCCAGTACAATGTATACAGACACACACACACACCATTACAGCCAGTACAATGTATACAGACACACACACACACCATTACAGCCAGTACAATGTATACAGACACATATACCATTGCAGCCAGAACATTGTTAATTGACACACATCATTACAGCCGCACAATGTATATAGGGTGACACACACCCTTACAGCCAGAACAATGTATACTGACACACACACCATTAAAGCCAGAACAATGTATACAGACACACACCATTAAAGCCAGAACAATGTATACAGACACACACCATTAAAGCCAGAACAATGTATACAGACACACACCATTAAAGCCAGAACAATGAATACAGACACACACACCATTACAGCCAGCACAACGTATACAGGGTAACACACACACCATTACAACCAGCACAATGTATACAGACACACCATTACAGCCAGCACAATGTATACACACACGCCATTAAAGCCAGCACAGTGTATTCAGGGTGACAGACACAAACCATTAAAGCCAGCACAATGTATACAGAGTAACACGCACACCATTACAGCCAACACAATGTATACTGACACACAATTACAGCCAACACACTGTATACTGACACACAATTACAGCCAACACACTGTTTACTGACACACAATTACAGCCAACACACTGTTTACTGACACACAATTACAGCCAACACACTGTATGCTGACACACAATTACAGCCAACACACTGTATGCTGACACACAATTACAACCAACACACTGTATGCTGACACACAATTACAACCAACACACTGTATGCTGACACACAATTACAACCAACACACTGTATGCTGACACACAATTACAACCAACACACTGTATACTGACACACACACATACACAGACCATTACAGCCAGCACAATGTATACTGACAGACACACCATTACAGCCAGCACAATGTATACTGACAGACACACCATTACAGCCAGCACAATGTATACTGACACACACCATTACAGCCAGCACAATGTATACTGACACACACACACTATTACAGCCAGCACAACGTATACAGGGTAACACACACACACCATTACAACCAGCACAATGTATACAGACACACAATTACAGCCAGCACAATGTATACACACACACGCCATTAAAGTCAGCACAGTGTATTCAGGGTGACACACACAAACCATTAAAGCCAGCACAATGTATACAGAGTAACACGCACACCATTACAGCCAACACAATGTATACTGACACAATTACAGCCAACACACTGTATACTGACACACAATTACAGCCAACACACTGTATACTGACACACAATTACAGCCAACACACTGTTTACTGACACACAATTACAGCCAACACACTGTATGCTGACACACAATTACAACCAACACACTGTATGCTGACACACAATTACAACCAACACACTGTATGCTGACACACAATTACAACCAACACACTGTATACTGACACACACACATACACACACCATTACAGCCAGCACAATGTATACTGACAGACACACCATTACAGCCAGCACAATGTATACTGACACACACCATTACAGCCAGCACAATGTATACTGACACACACACACTATTACAGCCAGCACAATGTATACTGACACACACACACTATTACAGCCAGCACAATGTATACTGACACACACACACTATTACAGCCAGCACAATGTATACTGACACACACCATTACAGCCAGCACAATGTATACTGACACACACCATTACAGCCAGCACAATGTATACTGACACACATTACAGCCAGCACAATGTATACTGACACACACCATTACAGCCAGCACAATGTATACTGACACACACCATTACAGCCAGCACAATGTATACTGACACACACCATTACAGCCAGCACAATGTATACTGACACACACACACACACACCATGAATTTTGGGGTGTCAGCCATTATGGAGTAGCCCCCTCCCCCCATGCCATGCTATGCTATGCTATGCCATGCTATGTGCCAGGTTGCCCAGGTTTTGCCCTTACCGGCAGGGTGGATGCCAGCAGCGGCACAGCTCTTCCTCGTTAACATGGCGGAGGGGGCAGGGGAGGGTCATGAACTCCGGTCTCCGGCTCCCACCGATCTCATGGACCTCCTCCTGCTCCTGCTCTTGCTCTCCCCGGATACTCCGCTCAGCTGCAGGGAGGGGGCGCCCGGCATCCCCGGCCTACACACTAAGGGCGGCCCCTGGGCCCTCCTCCAGCTCTCCCCAGGGGAGACAGACAGAGCCGGGTAACCAGTGTCTCCACCCCCTGGGCGACCAGCTCCGCCCTGTACTGGCCACAATGGGGGTCTTTACTGGCCAGCTATGGATGAAGAGATCCCCCCCTGTAACGGCCGGTGTGTGCTGGCTGGCTGGCTGTATTGATTGATGTTACCAAGCAGCACTCAGTGTGAGCAGGGAGGGACAGGGAGGCTGAGTGTGACTGTGTGTGGATAATGGAGGTCCTGGAAGGTCAATAAAACATCCCTGCCTTTCTCCCCTAAATGTAATATGCTCGACCTATTCCCCTGCAGTCCTTTATGCCCATTACCATCAATAAAATGAGAGCCAGAAATTATTTATAAACACATATAATTATCTGCCAGTTCATTTTTAAAATTAATGTATGTCTGTATGCATGTCTGTGTCTGTCTGTCTAAATACATATTTATTGTCACCTGCAAATAAAATATTTTTCCCTCCTCATACTTTCTCATTATACAATGTGTATTTATCAAACCTTTCAGTCTCTCAGAAAGCAACACCTTTCATCATCCCCCATGGCACTGGAAGGGTTAATACATGACCAGTACACTTATTTGCAAAGACCCCCGATGGTGACATTGCTTCTTGGTGTGTGGGAGCCCAGGGATGTGGGGAAAGGTAGGTTGGACTTAATGGAACATGTCCTTTATGGTGGCCGCCATCCTGGTCTGGTGTATCCTCTTCAGCTCCTGGTTGTTCATGATGTCATTATTGACAGTGGTAGCTTCTCATTTTTATCAAGTGGAAAAAGTCTGTACTTTGTCTTATGATATTGCATCGACTGTAACAGAATTTCAGTGAAATTCCAACATGGCTTTAGTAAATGCTCATTATTTTGGTGAGGTGAGAGTTGACAAAGTCACTTTAAAATAGCGTCCATTGCTAGGGGAACCTGCGTAAACGCAGAGTGAAGTCTAAAACAGGATGTCTGTCTGTGCTTTTCTGCACGTCAAGCTGTTAATTCTGGGATAGTTGTGGAAACATGACTTCTCACAGTTACCTTGGCCAGACCTGGCTTCCCAAAGTCCAACTTTAGATGTTTATGGGGGAGTATACACAAGGTGCATCTATAACTGAGACCTAATCCGCTCATAGGGCCTTATACCTGTGACATCTATTCTCTTGGCTTTATTCTGTAATATAATATAATATATATACACACACAAGAAGTGTATATGAGGAGCATAAATGTTTAATTTGCAGATAGTGCTAAAAGTATGCTAAAATAGCGCACACTGATAATTAAATATGCTTGGAAAAAGTACAGACTTGCTTTTTATTGATGGTAAGGGACATTAAAGGGACTTCCTGCTTATTGTAGGGGAACAGGCTAAGGATTTACATGCAGGAGAGATAAGCCGGAATTATTTATTGACCTTTCAGGACTTTGAGCAGCCACACTTAGCCTTGTGGCCCCTCCCTGCTCACATAGTCTGCTTGCCCAGCTCCCCAGTGATGTGGTATCACATCTTTACAGTGAACCAACTTAAGCAGGACACCGGCTGACATGGAGGGAGGGGGCTGACACTTGGTGGCAGTGAGGAGGGAGGGGACTGCTAGTTAATGGCTGTGAGAAAAGAGAGGGGACTGTCAGCTGTGGGGACGAAGAGGGGGCTGAAAGTTGGGTGATGGTTGGCAGCTGTGGGGAGAGAGAGAGGTTGATGGTTGGCAGAGTGTGGGGTAAAAGGGGCGCTGACGGTTGGTACAGTGAGAAGGACTGAATGGCCCAAGCTGCGTCTCCAGGTGACTGTGTTAGCATGAGCGGCTGGGCGTTGCTAGGCAGCGAGGTTTGTTTTCACAGATTCACTATCACTTCAAAGATGTGTGGACGGGAGAAGGGACAAAAATTATATTAAAGGAACAATCACAGGGCTGGTCTAGCATGGTATACAATCTTCCACCTAGGGAGCTGTGCACTTAGGGAGAGCACACTGCTTGGGATAGCAGGAGTCCTTCTTGTGTCGAGCAAGGGGGGCTTCAATTCAGTCTGAATTGAGAATTACAAATCTTTTCTTCTGGCATATTAAAAATTGGTAAGGGGTTTATTAACTAAACAGGGGTGTATGCAAAACCGTAAACCCGGAAAGAATAGAAATCGCCTTGAAAAAGTTAAGCAAAAAAGGCTAGTTTTGAAAAATTCTCCAACTCATCTATAGCTACAGCTTGGCTGTATTTCTAAATTTAGCAAAATGATTTTCAAGTCGTTACAATCAGAGCCGCCATCAGGAGATACAGTCAGTACCCAATTAAAGGAACAGGCCAGGCCCTAGGGTCTTCAAGGAGCCATGTAGAAATATTTGCTCCAGTTGAGCTGAGCAGATATAACGATCTCCCGCAACCAAACCGCACAGTGGGACTCCTGTGTGGCCCCCTTACTGGGATGTGCTGGCTGCCCCCTTGCTCCTACTGTGCAGTATTGTGGGAGGAAGACATAACATAGTACTTCCTCCCGGTGTGTGAAGAAGCCAATGGGGGAGGCATCCAAGTTTGCAGCCAAATCCACTCTAGAACCCAGGGAAGCCACCATCCTACTTCAACAGTTATGAAATCAAGAGAATGACTTACAACATATATTTTTGAGTGTGAGTGTATGTGTGTGTGTGTGTGTGTATATATTTTTTTGTGGCATTGTGTATGAGACTGTATGTGTGGTATGGCATTGTTAATCTTTGTGTGTATGTGTAAACCTGAGACTGTATGTCTGGCAGTCATTGTCTTTGTGTGTGTTTTTGAAGCAGTGTGTAACAGTATCATTGTATGTGTGTTTATCATTCTGTCGGTGTATCCATTAATGTGCCAGTGAGTATGGCTTCTGTGTTTACGAGTGTGGATGTGAGCTTCTTCGGGGGTCTGGTCATTAGATTGAAGAGGCCCTGAGTTGTAATGGCAGCCCTGACTAAAATTTAATGTGGGTATATCTAAAAAGAGCTTGCAAAAGACTACAGCCTTTGCAAACCGTACCATTTTTCCCTGGAAGAGATGTTCAGTCTCTTTAATAACATTTGAAAAGCCTCTGAGTCTATGCCTGTGTGCATCTTCTTGCGTGTGCATGTTCCTTTTCATTTCATAGGAATCTCATTGAACTGTAATGCTTTGTGTTCCTTTAAGAACCCCAATTAAAGGGAACTTGTAGTCACTTACCTTGGTCTACGCTCCCGCGCCGTAATTACATTAGCGAAGTCCACCCCCGCTCCTCTGCTGCTCTCCGGTCCACTCCTCCGATGACGATCACTGATTTGCTCTGCTTGAGGAAAGTTACACAAGTGACGCTAACACACTGGCTCAGTTGCCAGCATGCCGGTGTTTGAACGGAGTGCTGCCACATCATTCCATTCCTATACCCCCTGCTTTCATAGTTACGGGACTTAAAAGTTTCCATTTCACGGGACCTGTCACTTCTCTGGAATTTCTTCCATTGAATAAAACTTTTAAAATCACTTATAACTTGTGTTATCATTTTTCATGAGACCCTCTGTTTTCTTCAAAATTAATTTTAAGTTTAGTAAATGGCATCATAATCTAGTTCAGACAAGGCAGAGCCAGGGCAAATTGGGTCTGTCGTGATCAATCGGAACTGCTAGGAGGCCTGGGACAAGGGCATTTCACCTCATAGACCACTCAATCCTAGTTTGGAGTAAATTTATACAAACCACCCCCGTACATTTACTGTCAGTCTATATAAAGCTGCTTTACTCTACTCACACCTGCTAACAGTCAATTTGAAAACTCCAATCCCTGAAAGCCCTCTCTACAGAGCTACATCTTGAGGGACACATTTTCTCACCTTAATTATTCATATTGTAAAGAACACGTTCTGCTGTAGGAGAAATCTTCACATAAATCCAAGTAGGTGACATCTTATCCTATGTACAGTCCTGTTAATCTACAGGTTATGAAAGAACTGTTTGTACTAGGCTGGCCCTATACATGTTTGTGTTATGTTATTTTTAAACTAATTCTAATGCTAAGATTCTTTTTTTTTGCGTACCTGCAACTTTACATTAAGCAGCATGTAATAAGTTATTAACACATGTATTCTATCAGCTGTTAGTGTTAGAGAGTTCATGGACAGCTGAAAATCCTGTAAAGCGAGAATAAAATGGGAGCCTTGCCAATTGCATATTTTAACCCTTGAGTAAATGCGGTTGTGAAAATATATTCCTGTTTTGGAAAGATAAGAAAACGATGGGGCGGGCACGATACACTTTTATTAAACAATGTGAGCATTAGCCAGGCAACATAGTGACAGAATGATTGTGGGCTGTGATTGGCAGAGAGCTGTGTTCTCCTGCCTCTAGTAAAGCGTCTGTCCGGTTCACTGAATGCTCCTCTCAAATGGAATATGTTTTAAGCAGCGCATGCAGTGAGGCCCCATGAGGTGGAACAGCTGCTAGTCACGGCTTTGGTTTTATTGCCATTGTTATATATGGCAAAATGGTTTATTCACTTAGCTGGGAATTGTGGCTTGACAATGAAGCTGCAAATGTACGGCCAAAATAAATGATCTGTAAACAATATCAGCTCAACTATTTTGGTATAACGTTTGCAAATATTCCTTTGTCAGCTCTCCACAAATACTGGCTAAGTGAGTATACCTCAAAATGTTACACAGGCAGAGAACAGATAGAATATTAGCGCACAAAAGCAGTAATTCTCTTTGTGCTCAAAATAAATACAAATATAGTCATTGTAATCTTACATATGAATGGTTTTTAAGGATACCTGTCATGGTACACACATGGTTTTAATAAAATAGAAGCACATTCAATGCCATCTAAACACTGAGCTTGGAGAATTGCTTGCAAATATAGAAATTAGAAGAAAACTATTTACAACTAAAGGAAGACTATAGGATCAGGAACACAAACATGTATTTCTGACCCTATAGTGTTAAAACCACCATCTAGCCCCCTCTGGTCTACCTTATCCCCCTAAATATAGTAAAATCTTACCTTTATTCCAGTCTGCTACTGCAGACTCTGCCCCTGTTCTGCCTGCTTGGCTGACATCATCAGAAGTGGTGACCTCAGCCAATCACAATGCTTTCCCATAGCACAGCACAGACAGTAGTTACTGTGGTGTTCGCTCTTGCTAGAGGAATACAAGAATGGAATAAGACATGTCAATCCATTCTGATGCCAATGCACTGGCAATGAAAGCAGCATGTCGGGGAGGTTATTCCTGAGAATTGTTCTCCAGAAGTATCAGTGGTGATTGAGGTGCAGGTAGTAGCCAGGAGCGAGGGGCCAGTACTACACTAATGAGACACCCACGAATCAGTATGTGGCATGGCAAGGCTATCACCACTAGATAGGAAGGGATTAGTAAATTAAAATTTCATTAAAAAGACACTCTGGGCACCATAGCAAATTTTTCAAATCAAGTTGTTATGGTGGGAGTAGGTCTTACCTGAAAAGGTTAAACCGGTCATGAACAGTTTAACATGTCTTCAAACATCTGTCAGCTTTGCCGCTACACTTCTGCTACAGTCCAAGTCTTCAATCACAAACCCCCTGACTGGGTGTAGCCGTAGGTTGCATCTCGCTCTTGCTGGAGGAATATAAGAATGAAATAAGCTGATTTTTTTTTAGTCTATCAGTATCTCCCCATGCAAAAAACAGAGTAAAAAAGGACTGTACCTGATACACAACAGATTGAAATATACTTCCACTGGACAATCTTAGTACCAGGAAGAGATACCTTCAGCTGAACACCACAAACAAGGTACATTTAAACTAAAAAAACGACTCACCTCCATGTGTAAATTGTGTAAATTAGGTTTTGTATTTGATCATGCATTAAGCAATGCTCAGATTCATTTCTAAACACCAAGAAAAGGAATTGATGAAAATTATTTCACTAAAACACATTGGTTTTGAACTCGTGTAATCTGACCTGCATGCATGCTTTCTTACCTGTTATTTACAATGCAGACTGAAGTGCAAAATCTCATACTCACTCTGGCCTGAACCCTATAGAACAGGGCAGTGTAACCAGTCCCCACTAACATCCCTACAAAAACTAGGAGCTATTTTAACACCTTCACTGCTGAGAGAATGATCACCTATACTCCCTTATATCTGTATACCCTAAGACCCCAAAAAGCGGTCGCTGCACTCAGTCCCTCGCTAGTGGTTACCCTAAAATCACTTGGCATCTTCAAAGGGACTGACAGGGGCTGTCGTGGAGGAAAATCAAAACTTAAAGTTCAATCTCCTGACACTATCACAGCTGCTCCACCACCCTGTCTACCTGCAAGCCCAATTGAAGTGATTCAACTTAGAAGCCACAAAAACCACACTATCAAATCAAGGAAACCTCTTTGTGTGATCCCCATTAGAAGACACGCTGTTTCCAAAGTACAGAGTCAAAACTCAGAATCCTAAGACTGTCCTATCAGATCAATCCTGTGCAATACCAGATCAATAAGGAACAAAACAGCTATTATTGCCGACCTTATTGAAACATGCGAATTAGCGTGCATTATAGAATCATGGCTAGATGAAAATGCAGGGCCTACTCTAGAGGCAGCTATTCCATGCAATAACACAGTGTTCCACCACCCGAGACAAGATCACAAGGGAGGTGGAGTTATGATCTGTGCAAAATCATCCTTAAATCCCAGACCAATGTCAGTCCACATACCCTAATCTTTTGAATGCGTAGCTGCCAGCCTCTCAATAGATAGAGGATTTTGGATACTGTTAATATACAGACCCCCAGGAGATGGGAAGAGATTTCTTCAGGAACTCTCAGACCTTTTGGCTGGCTTAATCCTTGAACACCCCAGATGGCTTTTATTGGAAGACTTCAACACTTTGATGACGCCCTATGCCTACTTGGGATCTCCTCAGCTTGATGAGTGCACTCTGCTTCACACAAATCGCTGCCACTTCCACCCACAGATAAGGTCATACACTTCATCTAGTGTTCCAGTCTGGACTAGAGGTGTCACCAGTAACTGTAAATCCAGTTGTTTGGTCAGACCACAACTCCATTCACTTCTCCATTGTATCACAATCAGCCACACCCCAGTCTCAGAACCTGGTCAAACACCGCTCATTAAAAAGGGTGCCGTCATTGGATGTAACATCACATATGGATCTAAGTGAACTAATGGGCACCTGTGAATACCCCAGCTCCTTAATCCGACTCTACAACAAAACCATGAGAGAGACACCCTAGAAAGAATTGCAACAACACACATACGCACTGTCAACAATGCCGTGGTTTGACAGCACCATCAGAGAAATGAAGAGAATAGGCTGGAGACTCGTGCGAAAGTGGCACAGAACACATGATCAAGAGGATAAAGCCGCTCTTACTAAACATCTAAATGAATATCAATTCATATCAAGATGACCTAATTCCACCATTTTTATCACGCAAAATTGCACTCTCCCACAATAGACCCAGGCAACTGTTTCGCACAGTAGAAAGGCTCTGCAAACCAGCGTGTATGCATATCCCCACCAACTTATCTCAGGATAAGTGTGAAGCATTCACGATCTTTTTCAGAGACAAGATTTCCTCCATTCGAGCCTCGATCACAGCGGGCCAAACAGTTACACCAGAACCTCTACAATAGAATGACAGATTGCCCCAGTCTATGGTCCACCTTTACAAATGTGAATATAAAGGGAGTTAAATGAACTGTGCTCACTAAAAAATGGAAACTTCCCAGATCCTCTAAAAGAAGCTGTGGTAAAACCACTCCTAAAAAAAACTTTATTTGACCCAGACTGCATGGCTAATTACAGACCCGTATCCATCCTTCCATTTCGGGGGAAATAATTGAAAAAGTAGTGGCAATTCAACTGGAGGCCCATCTATCAAGCTTGAACATCTTTGATCCTTTCCAGTTAGGCTTCAGATGCCGCCACAGCACTGAAACAGCGCTAGTCCCGAGTGCTAAATTATCTTTTTATGCGAGAGACTAAGGTGATTACTCCATCCTAATCCTCTCGGATCTCTCAGCTGCATTTTACACCATTGACCATAGGATTTTAATAGAGTGCTTGCAGCACATCTGTGGTTTAGGAGGCACAGTCCTTAACTGGTTTAAATCTTTCCTCACTGGTAGATCACAGAGAGTAACATCAGGATCAAGCTCATCGGAGTTCCACAAGGATCCATCTTGTCTCTCATGTTATTTGCAATTTACTTGCTACCACTAGGGGACATTATTAGGCGACATGGCCTAAGGTATCATTGTTATGCTGATGACACACAACTCTACTTCTCCTTTGCTCCAGATACAACAGACCCAACATGCCACATCAACAGTTGCTTAGCAGACCTAATAAAATGGATGAATACTTGTTGACTTAAAGTGAACCCAGACAAACAGAATTACTCTTGGAGAGGGGACCCCGGGCAACAAAAATATTCCATGATCACCCAACTGGCCTGGAGCTTAGAGACTCATTAGTTCATCAAAGGTATGAAACCTCTGAGTGCTGATTGACTCTGGACTATCATTTAAACAGCAGATTTCCTCTGTAATAAAATCTGCCTACTTTCATCTGAAAACATAGCCAGGATACAACACTTAATTCTACTGGATGATATGCCAACATTAATCCATGCATTTGAATCCTCTCGGCTAGATTACTGCAATGTACTTTACTTGGGCCTCCATGAAAAGAACTCCATTGTCTTCAGACTGTACAAAATGCAGCAGCCAGACTACTGGCCAATCAAACTCGCTCCTGCCACATAACACCTCCCACTCCCTGCATTGGCTTCCAATTAAATGGCGAACATATTTTAAAATTGGCCTGCTAACCTTCAAAGTCTTAAACAATCAAAAGCAAGGCCCACAGGACCTGAAAGAGCTCCTGACACCTTATATTCCATCCCAGTAAATCCCTCCTGTCAGTGTCAAGAATAAAGACAGACTCCGGTTCCAGGGCATTCAGCAACGCTGCCCCTACCTTCTGGAACTCTTTACCGTGTGCAAGCAGAAAGGCAACGTCCTTAGACTTTAAAAATTAAAAAAAAAGCCCACCTCTTCAATCAGGCATTTAGTACGCTCTTCTGACCTTCAGAAACTCCTAACTTTTATGTCTTTATGTTTGTATATTTGTAAAGTGCTTTGAGTCTCACAGGGAGAAAAGCGCTATAAAAATCGCAAATTATTATTATATTATTATAAAGTGGCAGAACTGATGGGCCCTGGATTGAATACTCTGGGTTTAAAATGTTAGTTCCTTTACGTTAACCGGCACCCGGGACCTCTTCACACCAAACAACTTCATTCTGATGTTATTGTGCCCAGAGTGCTCCTTTAAGCACTTAAATAGATTATAAATGATCTATTCAGAGTATAAGTGGGTGTTATGGCCTAAAGTGTAGCTTCGTGACAATTTCATTTTAAGTACAAACTATTTCAAAACTTGATTTCTCACAGTAGAAAAATGTGTTACACGTGTTCGACAATAAGATTGCTAAAACAGACTTTTTAGCATTTGTGATTGTTCCGAAGAGAATAAAATGTGTTATATCCAAAACAGATGAACACAAATGGATAGAGAATTTATTGTTCATGTTGACAAATTTGCAAATGAGCACCTGTTCAGACACAATGAAGCACCTTTTTAAAGTGCACTGTCTAGACTTATTTTCATGTCATTTTGGTTCATCCAAATCATATTCTCCAAAACAATTGCATAGATGAAGTTCATTCATACCAAAACACCATATAGACAAACATTTCTTTGTCACTCATACATCTAGTTCTCATAGAAGATCTTGCAGTGGCAATATCATCCTTCATGTTAAAAATGATTATAGCTATCCTAGTGGGGCCATTTTTATGGGTAAGCAGAAACTCTACTTTATCTGAGGATTTTCTTACTGTCTCATGTGAGTTGAAGGACAGATTATTTGCCCGGGATTATGACAAACAAGATTTGAGTAGGGCATTTAGGAAAGTTACCGACACAGTCTTGCCATGTATTGATATTTATAGAAGTCTGGTGGGACACGACAATCTGAAACCCACATTCTGATTATAAGCATTATGATAAGGGTGTTCCATTTTTTGTTACTAAATTTAGCCCAAAATGTAATGTGATCAAAAGTATATATTTACCTATGTTGGAAGGGGATGGTAAGCTGTGACATGTGATCAAGAATAGTTGTAGATCTTTAGCAAGGAGGGCTCCTACTGTGGAGTCTTGTCTCCATTTGTTTTTCTGTCCTGAAAAGATAACCAAATTAATTCAAATTGGTTATAAAAACCTGGTACCTACAAGTGCGGCATACATCTACGTACAACTTACAAAAATAATTTTGTATGTGTGGTGTTTCAATCTTCTGTTATAGGGAAAGGGCTTTAAATATCGTCAATATATAAAATGTAATACCACGTATGTGATCTGTTTATTGGCATGTACTTCATGTGGTAATCACAGCAATATGTGTACAAGACCACACAGATACACAGATTGCATGCAGGAGCGTATACATTCTGTTTTAAATAATGAAAATGATAGATCTATTCCCCTAACGAGGCATTTTAGGGAATGCAATTCTTCCAATTTGAGCTGCCCTAGGATACAGACTATACAGAATGCTGTGATTAAAGGCACAGGAGGAGATATGAATACCCCTTCTGAGATATTTAGAGGCAATATGGATTTTTTTATTTGCAATCAAGGGTTCCATTAAGTTTGAATTTGGTCTATGAAGTGTCTTTGTTTTGTTTGAATTATTTATTACTGGAAGTATTATCCTTGGCAGCAGTTTTGTATCACTTTGTACCTATTTATACTTTTATTTAAATGTATAATTTTGTTAGTATTGATACTTACTTACAAGTGAGTTACTTTATTAAATTTTCATGAGAAATTATTAGAACGTGTAGATTAGTATTTAAAGGGACACTATAGACACCTACTATAGACACCTGGACCACTTTATCTCATTGAAGTGGTCTGAGTGAAGTGCCCTGTGCCCTTAATTTGCAATGTTGCAGAGAAACTGCAATATTTACATTGCAGTTTGTTTTTTTTATTACAAAAAACAAGGAATTATGGTGTCAGCTGGCATGTGGAAGAGCTTCTATATTTTCTAATGTGCCTTTGCTCTTACCAGTCAGTCTGTTAGATAAGTATCAGGCTAGGGCTCAGATAACATGCGATCACAGCATTCTGAGCCATTTCGGGAACAATCTGGTGCGCACAAACAAAGGGCCAGTGCAAGGATTTTTGGTTCAACAGGCGAAGATGCATTTTGTCATTTGGCCCCCCCCCCCTAAAATTCATCTTCACCGGTTTGTCCTTTAATCCCCCTCTTAAATTTCTTACTCCTTTTGTGTTTATCCTCTCCTTTCATATACTTCATGAACACTAGAGTCGTCGCCATTAAGTGCAGCTCCTGCTGCAACTCAACTATTTGTTCGATTTCCCAGTCGCTGCCAGGATTCCTCGATATCAAATAGTTCTCAATAACTCCTATATAAGGGAGATACTCACCCACTGCCTTTGTATTCTCCCTGATGGACAAATTGGTGAGAGGAACGTTTGGGGCCTACACGGCTTCTCAGCCAGCTCAAGTGGCACACCTCTCCTTCAACTCTTGGATCAGCCCTTGAAGACTTCTTCTTCCCACCGGGGAGAGGTGACTATCGGTCACCTCACCTAAACATAATGGGGAGAAGATCCCAAAAACAGGAAGTGGGAGCATCTAGAGACACATGAGATATTTACACTATGCTCCAGCACCCTGTGGCCCACAAGATGGCTGCCCAGGCAGAACAGGAGGCCTACTACTCTGGCTCGGCGCTAAAGAGAACCAGCTCTGTTTTGTAAAAAAAATAAAAAAATAAAATAAAAAGTGTATGGTCTCATTACTACTTGCAAAACTTCTGTCATGTTATCAAAGGAGTATAACAGAAAACAATAACCAATTTTTAAGTTGTCTTTGTCAGTTAACAGCTATATATGATTATTGTGGGAATATACCCTTTATTCCTCTTTGTTAAAAGCAGATGACAATGGATCTGCGATGTTACTTACCGAAAGCGGTTCTGTCACTTTGCAGGTCTTGGTTTTGTATTAGTCCTTTTTTTTGGTCCCTCTATTTCTCCTTGGTTATATTTTCTTTTTAAATTCACTGTAGTTACTTAGTAATACATTAAAACAAAATAGTAGCTACTTTTTTCTTTTTGGCAGTGGGCGGAGCTTAAGCCAAATTCCATTTCAGTTGCCAAGCTAATTTACCCACAATCCATCAGTCAGAAAGGTCTCACAGAAGGGCAAACATTAGGCCATCATGGAGTTTAGAGAACAAAATGGCAGCACCCAGGTGTTGAGATCCAGGGCAAGGAAGAAAGCATAATACATTTTTAAAAAAGGCAAGTAGGGAGGTATAATCATTAAGATACAAGGGACATAAGGAAAGGAAAAGTGAAAACGTGAAAGAAAAATAAATATGGCTGGGCCACTTTAAAGGAGATAAGAAATTCTAAATTACACAGAATGTGCAATAAAGGAAGTGTAAACATTAGATGACACTTTACAGGAAGTGTTTAGGAACGCTGTGCAGGTCACATGCGGGGAGGTGTGACTAGGGCTGCATAAACAAAGTGATTTAATTCCTAAATAGCAGAGAATTGAGCAGTGAGACTACAGGGACACCAAAACTGCTTCAATCAGCTAAATCTGTTTTGGTGACTATAGTGTCCCTTTAAACTTTATCAAGAGTATGACATTTGATCAGCATGGTCACACCAGCTGTAAACACATTACATACACCTACACTCAGTGGTGTATCCTGGTTTTGTGCTGCCCTAGCCAGGACAAAACTCAGGCGCGCTCCCCCACCCCCCCACCCCCGGCGCCACCCCCACCTAACCCTTCCCCCCTGCCCTGAATTCTAAATACACACACATTCACTGACAGAAACACACTCTCACTCACAGACACACACAGTCACACACACACACACACACTCAATCACACTTTTTATTTAACCTCCCAAGCCTCCTTACCTTTGGGAAGGGGTTCTCTTTCTCCCTGAGGTCTAGTCGGGCAGGCGGCGCTGGCGAAAGGAGCACTTTCCTCTGAGCTGTCTGTTCAGCTCCCTCGTGCGCCGCAGAGTGACACCTGGAGCCGGAATATGACGTCATATTCCGGCTCCCGGCATCACTCTGCGGCACGCAAGGGAGCTGAGCAGACAGCTCAGAGGAAAGTGCTCCCTCGCCAGCGCCGCAGGCCCAGCAGCCCATCTGGCTTGTCAGTTAGCTGCAAGGCTAACAAAACATTTGCCCTGGGCATTTGGGGGCGGCTTTTTTTGCTGCCTCCTGGAAAATGCTGCCCAAGGCAAATGCCTTGTTTGCCTCGCGGCTAAAACGTCCCTACCTACACTGCCAGATGGAAATTGTACAGGTTTCTATACCAAGACTTGACACCTAAACTGTAAACACACCTATGTAAATCTCCCCATGTGTGTAGTTTACGTGTGTATATGTGTAGGTTAAATGGAAAGTGTGATATGTTAGACAACATGACAGCATATTGAAGCTTTATATCTGTTTTCTCACAAAACAGAATCCAACAATTTATTTCTCATATTCAGAAGTTAAAAAGTAAGCTTTTTGCTCAGAGTGAAAAACTCTTAATGACAGGATGTCCCACCAAAAATCCCCCTGACGCATATTGTCTACAGTACAAAACTCCTGTTGTATTATAGCAATATTAGACATCTTTCCCTACAAATTCCCAAATCCTTGTTTTATTTTATTTTTTTAATAGGTTTTACTTCAGGGAAACTGCCAGTGATATATTACAAATCATTAGAATTACATCTGTGTCCCTGTAAAGAAATGTTATTGATGTTTTGTCATCACCATGAGGATAACTTGTAAATTCTCTAATGACTTTCCTGGAACACTAAGGTAAAAACAGAAAGCCGGTGAATTTGGAATTCATTTTTAGAAACATCCTCTGCTTTCCTTGATGGATGGGTGTCTCTCTTGGCTGGTTTGGATTTCACATGCTTTGTGCCCTCGTCAAACTGCCTGCTCTAAATTAAATATATTCTTTCCTAACTGTGTAGCAAAGTTAATGCAAAAATGTAATACATTTCCCTGCATTGCTTACGGACATTTTTTTATTTATTTAAACAGCTAAAGAATACACAGTATTGATACTTAGGGAAGTTCCTGTTTCTACAGAGATTGTGTATGTCTTTTACAATAAAGTCAACCGTGTAAATAAAGTCAACATTCACAAGTACCATGCAAACTCACTAACATGACCATAGCACAGAGGATTCACTATTGTTGTAGAAAATGTATTTTTAGAATTTTTGACGAGGTTGAGCTCTATAGGTTGTGTAATTAAACATCAAATAGGAGTAAGTGAGGCAAAGAAGAAGCACTTCTTTTGGGCCATCGTCTTGGCTCTCAGTTAAAATAAGAGACTACTCATCACTTCACCTATGTATATAAAAGCCTATTAAAAAAAAAAAAAAAACTCTTCTTTTTCATTATAATTGTACCAATATAGTTAGTGGTGAATTGTAAAGCGTTGAAGTAACTTGCAATAATTTCTAATCTCTACCTTTTCCTAAAAGACTACTATTCTCTTGGAGGTTATTGCATCTTTCAAGGATTCAATAGACATTGGACAAGAAATATTAGGTACTCCTTTCAGATCTTCGGAGCACTTATTCGTCTCACTGTTTGTATGGCTTGGTACTGATCTTTTATGGTAAGATCTTTTTTTTTTTAACAACACAACCCAAACAGCACACAGAATTCTAGAAATGTTCAGTATTGACAATTGTTTTGGAACCAAGCCCCAAAATAATCTGAGTACACAGTTTAAGAAAGAAAAGTTCTAAATTTGCACCCACCTGCCAAATGTCTCTAAATTAAATCCTTTGTTTAACATCAACTAAAACACAGGACGTACTAAGTGAAAAAAAGAGTATTCAAGCAGTACATACCAATATAGAGTATGCTAGAGTGAGAGGAGATAGTGTATCTCTCAGGAGGTAGTGTATCTGTTCTGCACACTATCCAGTCTGCAATGTTATATCTACATACTGAAGTTCTAATTCACTCTCAAAGACATCCCTAGTTAATTCAAAGTAAGGCTTACTCAGGGGCAGTCAACCTTGTCAACTACACCTCCCATAATATTCTTCCAGTGATAATGCGGGCAGAG